TCAATACAAATCAAATGATGTCCAAATTTTCGATAAAATATTGATCGAGCAATGTTTTGAAGACGTTTATTTGTGTCAGAAACATTGATCAAATCTTTCAATTCCAAGTGGCACAAAACCATTTCAGTTACATCTTCGCACAAATCATTGAATTTTGTCGTAGCAATTTTATTTTGTAATATTTTTGATTCTTTTTCATGCAAATGACATTCTTCGTGTTGTTGTTTACGTTTCACTGTAGATTTATTGATGCTTGACTGCAAATTAAGAAAACAGTTTGAGTGAAAAAAACAAGAACCAAACTCAATGTCCTTACCACAAGATTGTCATTTTCAGTTTGAGATAATTCTGCTTTGGTCTCAATTTTTGCAAGTATTCCATCCATATTGCTATCGTCTTGCATCTTATTTTCTGTGTCTTTGATAAAAAAAATTATAATCCAAGATATCAATTTTACTTTCTATTTTTTTCTTCACGCACTTTCGTTAGTTTTTGCTGTTTACTTATGCAACGCAAATCAATTTATCATGGTTTTTCTGTCACAAAAATTCATTGAATTCGCTATGCATTATGTTGAATATACTTTGAACTAACTTCATGTGCAACTACGCCCAAGTGGTAAAACATCTTGCACAAAACATAAACGAAGCAGTGAAAAATAATTTATTTTTCGAAAAGAAAATATGAACAATCGAAATATTGAGCCATAAAACTTATAAAACGATATTATTTTCATTTGATGTAAATATTCTATTTAAGCAAATGTTTGAGTATGAATTCGCTGATAAATGTAAGTGGGAAAAGAGCACATTAAACGTATCCATCCATGGCCGTTTGCAACTGTCAAATACATATACATTACATACATTATGTGATATGTCAAACCAAAAATATTAAACTTGAAAATTTGAAAAGATATTTGTTTTATGCCAGTTCTGTTTTTTTTACATACAAATTTTGCTATTTTTATTTTAAATTGAAAAAGAAGAAGATCAAAAGGTAGAAAGGGTTCAATTAAACGTTGTAAGTAATTGATATTATTGAATTTATATTCATTTATTCATTCGGAAATTATTGAGTGACTTGTTATATTGTCACAATTACTTTTCAATTCAATTGAACTAAACAGTATCATTATTAACTCTCGTTTTTGTTAGGTCGCGACGAAGTTGCCTCTAAATTCAACGACTGGTGAGGTCCGTGAAGCATTTGCTGCACTTGCTGGAACGTTGAGTATGATTCCGAATGCCCGCGACGATTCTAGTAATTCCAGCGATTTCAGTGATTTCATAAGTCAAAAAGGAATAATTGTAATAGGAAATTTTGCTGTACTCTATTCACAATTTTATCAAATCAAACAAAATCTTATTGTTTGTTTTTTTGTTTTTGTTTAGGACGACATCGCCAAAAATCAAGATAAAATTGCGGAATTTCTTGAACGACCAGAAAGAGATTTGGACAATATAGCCAGTCTTACTAA